TCACATACAATATCTTCTCACAACTCAAAAGACAAGAAGGTGGAAAAAACCCCTTAAAAGTTTCAACCTAAGGAAGAAAACAACCTTTAAGGGAGGCTCACAAAATCTCCCTCAAGTGTGCCTTGAGTCGTCCCCTCCTCTCCTCTGATCCAACAATTCCTCTGTCAAGGCTAAGAAGGCCTTTTCTCATGACACAAATATGTTTTTATAGTTGGGTTTTACATTAAAAATCCAAAGTAAGCATCAAAACTCTTCAAATCCGTCAAGAGGTAAAAAATAAGCAAGAAATCGCGCAACATGAGTTCCGGATGTCCAACAGTATGGTCATGCTAGAAACTGGCATGGTCACGCCCGAAACCGGTATGGTCATGACTGAAATTGGCTTGGTCATGCCTGAAACTCGCATGGTCACGCCCGAAACTGGCGTAGTTACGCTAGTTTTGGTGTGGTCACATTCAGTTCTGGTGTGACTACACCAGACAACAATATATCGCATTTTCTTACTTCGTTTTGCTTGTTTGACACCTATAACTGCAAAACATCAACAAAACCCTTTCTCAAGTGTAAAATTGTGATAAATTAGTAAAAAATAATAGGTAAAAAATGTATGTGTAATCCGTAATATTGACATATGTCAACCCCTCTGATCTGGTCATCATCGACCACCCACTTAAATTCTTTCTCACTCTACTAGGGCATTCCGATCAACTTTCTTAAGTGGGTGGTGGAGCTAAGTGGGTTTGACATCTCCTACGTCTCCCGGACCACAATCAAAACACAGGTAATCACAAATCTCTTGTCGGATTTCTTCGAAACATGTGAACTGAGCGAAGGGACCACCACCGACAACCAGACTTGAGTCTCACACATTGATGGAGTATCCAACCAGACGGTAGTATGGCTCGAGTTTTCTCTAAGCAGTCCGACCGTAGAGCATATATGTCGCTCGTCACGATAGAGTTTGAGTATGAAGCTCTAATTGTCAGTCTACGTCTAACCATGAAATGGGCACCGAGCATCTTCTTATGACCACAGATTCGCAACTGGTAGTGAATCAGGTGAATGGAGAATTTGAATCCAATGATGAGATGATGGCTAAGCATCTCATCAAAGCTAAAAAAAGAACCGGAAGTTTGCCAACTTCAAAATCAAGCACATCATCAGAAAAGGCAATCAAGTGGTTGATCTTTTATCCAAGTTCATCTACTTGGGGGAGGGAATGCCTTAGCGATTAATTCGGCCGACTATTGAAGAACCCAAAGCAATAAAGGTGGAAACCAAAAGAGTAGAATGTTTGATAGATCCTTACATCCATTATCTAGAACCAGGAAGATTGTCGAGGAAGTTACCAAACCAAGGAGTTTTAAATGCAAAGTGACTCACTTACTAATAGAGGGTAATTTTTTCTTGGAAGTCTGTCACATCCCTTTATTTGAGGTGCATAATGGAGAACAAGGCAGAAGATGTGCTCTAGGAATTACACTCCGGAGAATATGAGTCACTCTAAATGAATGAGCTTGACACACAAAATCTAACAATAAGGATACTTCTAGCCTACACTTTTGAGAGATGTGGAGGAAGTCTTTGGGAGATGTAAACAATGATAGAAGTACGCACCATTTCGGCACCAATTGGCCCATAGGCTGTAACCGATTGTCAGCCCTTTTGCCTTTCATCATATGGGGGCTCGACATCCTCAGACTAATTATATCATCGAAGGGTCAAACGTAGGTTCCTCCTAGTCGTCGAGGATTACTTCTCAAAATGAATTAAAGTAAAAAACGCTCCCTTGGATTACAACAAAATTCATTTGAAACTCTAGCAGGATAGACCTTATTTGTTGGTGCGGCTTTTAGCTAAATATCATTACCGACAACGAAACATAGTTTGCTAAGTAAAGAGTGTAATTTTTTTGTCAAAGCCGAGGGATCAGCCTGAAGTTCATGCCAATGCATTAACCTTGAACCAATGGACAAGCAGAAGCCACAAAAAAATCATCTTAAATTTACTAAGGAAAATAGTTGAAGGAGCAAAATGGGATTGGGCTGATATCATTCGATCAATCCTTTGGGTGCTCCGAACAACGCCTTAAATGTTGATCGGGCTGACTCCCTTAATGTTGTCGCATGGAATGAAAGCAATGTTGTTGGTCGAATATAATCATGGAAACCAGATGGTCGTGATATCCTCAATGTTTGATGAAAAAGATCGGGCTAACTAGCAGGAGACAATCAATGAAAGGGCAATGCTCGCGCTCGAGTTGGCAGAAGAAAATTAGACCAACTCAGTCCTTCGCTAGGAGGAAGTTAAGAGGAGGACGACCCACTACAATAAGCACGTTTGAGAGAAGTCTTTTGCCCCCAGAGACCTTGTACTGAAGAAAGTCAATCTAGTGACACGTGGACAAACGGCCGACAAACTAAATCAAACATAGATCAGCCCATTCATTATCAACCAAAGGGTCACCCGTGGAGCATACAAGCTCAAGACCCACACTAGGAAATGAGTCCCTCGGACATAGAGCGATGCTGACCTCCAATGATTTTTTTCATTAGATTTATTGTATCAATATGTGAAAATTAATAGAAAAGCTGGTTTCATTCTAAAAGACTTGTAATTTTTACATTAAAGAAATATTAGAAAATGGTTCAGTTGACTATGTGTGTAATCCTAGTTCAAATAACACTTGGGGAACTCGGGGAGTTCACGTGTTTTTTTAATAATAAAGTCAATTTTATTAGGTTGAATATACTCACTATAATACATACAATAATATACGACATCAAATATTTGATAAACATTGATGTCCAACAAGTCTATTTTATAACATACAAAATTTGGCATGATAAAAATTTTATAAATCTCTAATCTTTGTAGATTGAGTTTGTTTGAAATTTCTATTATAAAAAAAGTAACTAAATTAAAATCTAAAGTAGGTTAACAAAAACCTATATAGTGTAAATAATTTTCCCAATTGGCCCAAAAGACATAATTAGCTTCTCAAATCCCTCTTTTGCTTACTAAAACCGTCTATTTCCCTCCCTTTCTCCCTCTAAATGGCTTCATGGGTAAGAAAACTGAGAAAAAAATATGAGGGTGAGTTGATAAGAGAAGTTATTATATAGAAAATAATAACTATTCTCTTATAAAAAAAAGTGTAAATGTAATTATATGAATTGTTATACTTCTAACTATAAACTTTATATGAATCTTCTTATATCTTAAATAATAGAAAACTCCAAAAATTGTGAAAACTTTGTTAATGAATAGGACATTATGTCTAGTACTTGCTGGTTGAAAAGCTTCAAAAAATGGACATGAGTTGTTTCGAAAAAGAAAAAATTAAAGAGGTTATGATTCTTAAGGAAGACAAATCCAACAAAAACATTATATTTTCCTTATTATAATACGCGTAAAAATAGGCAAAAATATTCTTAAATATGATCATGAGTGTTATACAATCTGTTGAAAATGGTTTGTGAATCAAACATGAAGATGTTTTATATTGATGTAAAAGGGAGGCTCCTTGGCATGGGCATTAATTTTTTGCACTAATTTTTCTACCTTGATAAACTTAGTAAACTTTATTAACACATACACCATAAGATTAATAGAATATTTAATCATTGATAACTTGGAGTTCGCTAGCAATGTACCTAAGGTAAGGTAACGTTGGCGACAGAGTTAACATTTTTAGTGACCAACTTTGATTATCTCTTTCCTTAAATTTGATATAAAAGAGACTAATAGGTCTTCATTTTTCTCTTTGATTTGAAGAATTACACAAGAAATATGTAATAAAATTTCTTAAATGAGCCAATACTTAGATAAAAAAAGATTATTAAACTACAATCGATGACAAATTTTATATTCAATAATGCAAGTGAAGTTGTATGGTCGAAGGATATTCTCAAAAGCCGAACAAATGGTTTTCAAGGTTGATGATAGCCTTAGAAATTCAATTAAGAAAACTTAAAACTTAATTGGTGAGATATCCTTGAAGAGTTCTAGGGTGAGTGGAAAATTGTGCATGGTACTCTTGGCATAAGTGGATAAGTATCTTTAATTGTTATGTCATCACCTTTATAATGTGAGTGAGCAAGCTACACAATTAGAGTAGATCAATAAGTGAGATGCCTTATTGAATAACTTCTAAAATCATATTTTGTTGTGGTGAGGGTTCTCAAATCGAGCAACCAACTACTCTTGGGTGGCATAAGTATAATTATCATAATATGTTCCAACATGGTGCTCAATGTCTCTAGAGCAAATGTAAATGATAGGTTTATATTGAAAATAATTGTCATTTTTTCCTTCAACCATTGTTCTTTTTCTATCTCAATTTAGTTGAATTTCCTTATAATGATTCCAAAGAGATGCGAATGGCGAAACTACTTCTCTTACAAAGAGAAAAAAATCAATTATATTCAATTATTCGTGTATGAGTTCAATGGTTTGAGAAAGAATTATACACATGAAACTTTACGAAGTGAGAATAAAGATGCATAATATTTAGAGTAGGGTTTGTTTGTGACCAACACCCACAAGAAGGTGATCCAAGCGAATATATTACTATCTGAGAATGCAGTAAAAAACAAGCATTGACCTGAATATAAACTTAATGAAGAAGATTAAGTGCATGTTTCATCTCTCTCTTGGAAATTGACAGTGCTATTTATTGTGATATATGTTTTTAGAAGATGAACTAGGTATTTATCGAACATTAGACTAGATTTAATATTCTGATTATCATGCCTTAATGAAGAAGATTTTAGAAGATTTCAAGAAAGCTTTATTGAGAGAGTTTCCATGGATGTTTATCGAGGGCTAGTCATGAAAAATTGAGGTTATCAACATCAATGACTTTAGGCCTCATCTGCTACATATACGGTAGTGATTTATTTTGATCCTAGAGAGTGGATATCAATTAGTTAATTTGAGAGCACTCCATCCCTATTCTCATCATATAAAAAAGCCAAAAAAAAAAAAAAAATTCCATGTTTGAAGAAGGGGGTTAATAGTCAGCGTCTCTAACTCATGTTTGTTTTCTTCGAAATTCATGCAACTCCAATGAGTAAGTAGGAATATTACTAGACGAAAACTTATGACCTGATTTGTCCTGTAACACAACAGAGCCTCTTTATTACAAATAGTTCTTATTTCTCCTTATTCAAAAGGTGCTCATGGAGAAACAGGGAATATTTAGAGTATCGAAACTCAATCAAACAGCATTATAAAAGTCTTCACCTAATAGACAACCAGCGCCTGATACCGAAGAGCATGCTGCTAAACTCAAACGAAGTAATGGGAGGGTTTCTTCAGCCGACGGCCTTGCGTGGATAAACCTTAGCAGGGGTTATTGGGTAAGCACGGTTAAGATACCGGGTGTTGGAAAGCCAACTGCCAGTTTTCAATGCGGGCGGCGGATGCCTTACAGACTGGGAACCAGAATTCATGGTAAGGTTTGCAAGCTTCTCTGCCATTTCATAAGCTATTCCTGAGCTTACTACAGGATGCACCAGGTTTTCATTCAAATCCCAGGCCCCAGGAGCAACTCTGCCAAGGTGTCCTGCGACAGCCAAGAACAAAAAAGTGAAATCTGATCAGCTCAAAAGCTTAAGTTCTGATTTGATACACCAATTCAGCTATAGGATAAAACTTAGGCCAGCAACTAATTTCAGGAAATTTCATCAATTTAGCTGTCCGACTCCGTGGGTTGCAAAAACACATACTTGCATCTTGATAGATTGTACTTGCCTGGATTATTCCTAGCTGGTTGACCATAGAGTGGTTGAGGCGAACTATTTTCATAAGGAACATAATCCTGCAATTTTGAAAATCTTTGAATAAGAAATTAAACCTACAGCAAGCATATTAGTAAGAGATTCCTCTCACCTGGTACTGATGCCTATCTAATTTCCTCCAGGCAACACCTGCAAACAATCAGAAAAAGATTCCTCCTTAATCACAAACTGAATTAGAAACTGGAAAGCGAAATACCAAACATGTATCAAAAAAATGACAACAAAAGAACTCGCATAGAAAAAATACCAATAATTCATTAAATTTCAGGACCAAGTCGGGCAAGAAAATGAAAAAATACCCGTCTTTAAGGAGGCACATGCAGTTAGTGATGGGATATTAGTTGGAGACTGATTGGTTAGAGCTCCAACAACGCATCTTCTTGCACTCAAATGTTCAGGAGCTGCTCTCATAACAACTAAAAGTGAATGTTCATATCGTGTTTTAGAAATTTAAGTTGCTTGTTTTTGAAAAAAAATAGAAATAGGGATGGGAAAGCAACAAACCGAATGGAGGTGTTTTAGAAGTTTCAGTGTTGCGCAGCCGGAGAGATGGTGGGATGTAGTAGCAAGGCTCCATAAAAGAGTCATGAACAGAAGATGTCAGTAAAAAAGAAAAAAAGAAAGCACCCAGGCATCAAATTAGTAAGCATAAGATAGATCATTTTTTTTTTTCAAAAAATTAGGACCATTTCAACGTTTATGTGCAGGGTCCATGCTGATGTCTCCGAAGAGACTAAGAATAAGACACATATATGCATACATACCTTAAAGAACGGATGTTGAAGAGCCTTTGCAGCAGTAGGCCTTTTGAGAGGATCCCATAAACAAAGTGACTGCATTTGTAAACAATAATGTCAACTTGGAGCTAATGGAAGTACATTGGTTAAAAAGCTTGCCACACAATTTGCATTTTATTTATTTAAAAAATAAAAAGAGTTCACTACAAAATAAGCATACTGAGATAAGGCTGATAGCATAATCACTGGCGGATGGGATCAGCATGGAGAGGTGAATGCCGGGATACTGGCACCAAGTCAAAATAAAGAACATCAGTACAATGTGGTATAAAATAAGCTGCAGTCAAAGGAAACAAGGGTTTATTACAACAACAAAGCCTTAATCCCGCTAAAAAGGGTTTATTACTCGAAAAAGTATGAGATATAATCCCATGTGTACCACATTAAATGCAAAACAGAGTACCAATCAAAGCCCATACATGCATTACATCAATTAACATGAACTAAGTCGACAGGAGATAAAACCAAGACCCTTAACAACTGATTCAAGAAAACAAATATAAGCCACAGCTGCAATGCAACCCAATAATTACAGAAAAGATCACAAATTAGGTTGACAATGTTTACAGGTATAGAAAACCAAGAAAAATCAGAACTATCAAAATGAGAAGTTAAGGTCAAGTTCTACCCACTACTAGAATGCATTCAAACTTAACAACAAAAAATTCACTCTCAAAAGAAAACAATATTCAGTTCCTTATCTCATCATAAATATAAACTTCTCAGAAAAGATCACAAATTAGGTTGGCAATTTTTACAAATTCTAGAATGAAGTTTATATTTATGATGAGATAAGGAACTGAATAAATCCCTTATTCACGTCAATTCACGGTTATTACAAATATCTGATAATTATACAGAGAATAACCTATCTTTTGCACGTCAATTCACGGTTATTACAAATATCTGATAATAATCTCCATTAACAAGATACAACCAGCTTCTAAATAAGTTTCAACCCTACACAAGTTGCACCCATGGTAAGCATTGAACTCTTATGCTTTATAGCAAACTGGCAGTATAACAAATATAAAATAACTGGCCTACCGTTTTTGAATCACCTGTCTGCCAGAGTAAGAGGTAACACGAACAGAGTCATGCCACTCATGAAGGTTCAATTAACAGGAAAGGGAAATAACCAAGAACAGAAAAGATTCATTTGCATACCTGTGGAAACTTGAACTTTATTGTATCTGCAAGGTTCAGTCCCTCGGCCCAAGAGTTTTGACACGGAGAACCAATCACACTGCAGATCTTATGAATTTCATCTGGTTCACTGCAAGGTGCAAAGGGAATATGATGAAAAGGGTTCATATCATCAATTATTTATTTCTATAGTAAAATACTGATAAAGGCCTATTTAAAACAAGGGACGCCGGCAGGATTTAAGAAAGCCTTAAATGCTGCAGTTCGAAAGGGAACATAATCTTGGCACTCTGGAACAAATGTTGGAATAATTGAACATGATATGGTAAGATGATATTAGTTGCAATAATATTGTTACATCTAAAGCTTGAAAATGTCAGAATCATAGAGAAAAAAGCAAATAGCTACTAGAATGCTAACGTACTGTGCATTACAAATAAAATCAATAAGATAGAAATGAAAATAGGGAACACCCTCAAGCTGCATATGACAGCAAACACTTACAAGATTTCCTTTGAAAAAGCCATAAAAATGTTATGGCGCATATATATAATGCATACATAAGCAGAAAAGTTAAAACAGTTGCAGCAAAAAACCTTTTAAAGTTTAACTTCATAAGAAATCCAAAGAGAAGCCAATACATAAAGGACGGAGGCTCTCAAACCAAAGAATAGAAATATTGGATCACATGTACAAACGTAAAAACCTTGCTTTGAGAATGGAATCCATCATACACAGATATCAATACAAACATAGAAATAACACCAGCTTAAAATAAGATATCATCATTCATAACATAAAAAAAATTCACATCAACAAATACATATAATTTGAAGGAAGAAAAAACATAGTACTTTGTGCCAGGAAAAAGTGGACGGAGATTAAACAGTTCTGCCATTATTGCACCCATTGCCCATATATCTGAAGTTAACCAAAAAGATAGTCAGCAAGGATGTACATCCATCAGAAGACACAAGTTATGAAGAGAGACTAACCAACTGCAGGACCATATACAGAAGACTGCAACAAAACTTCTGGGGCTCGGTACCTATACCAAGAAGGGATTTGTAATTTGTGTAAAGATACAAAATAATCTATCATTGGCTATTTTGCATGATGTTATTATGCTGTTACTACAAAAAATTATAGTTACTGCTATCCTCACAGAGATATGAGATGTTCAACGAGTGCAAGACCATGGGTGTAAAACCATGGAAGTGCACATGCAATCTAGAACTCTGTTTGATATTTCAACCAAAAATTGCCACATTTATGAAAATAAAAGCAGAATAAAAGCACCAAGAAATTACTGCATAGTCTGGATGATTACCAACGAGTGGACACATATTCTGTAAATGGTGGCCTTGATGAAATTTCACGAGCTAGGCCAAAGTCTGCCACTTTGATCAAATCTTCAGACACCAATAAATTTTCTGAAAAAATAAGAATGATTTAGTGCAACAATAGAATTATTTTTTCGCAAATTCAAGCATATAACCATTTAACTTAATGGTTGGGCTTATAAATTAGTAAATATTCAATAGCAGCAACAATGCCTCGCACTGACATAAAACTGACTTGTCAAAACCAATCAGCTGCAGTAACTACACAATTCGAAAGCTTTTTGCCGAATGTAATAACCACATTAAGATCATGCTGTTAATTGTTAGTACAAGAAGTGGAAACATAATAGTGATTATTGAATTATCACATGAACTAAGAACCATAGCCAAACCTTAACAGCCTCATTTTGTCTTTCAGCGCATTCCCACCCT